CGGAGACCCCGGCCACACATATAAACCATACGGCTCCGATTTTGGAGTCCCCGGCTGGTAGTGGTTAATCATGACAAGTCAAGGATAGCTCCGTCACAGATGCCCACGTTTCTCGGGGATGTTCCTGATCTCTGTCGTGGCATGGTTTTTCCTTTGAATGCCCACGTGGACAATCAGATAAAGTGTGTTGCTCTATTTCAAGTTGGTTAACAAATAAATGCCTGAGCTTGGCTTCAGCTTCTCGGTCTCATGGCCAGTCTTGTCGATCTTGTCCCTTGGTGTCGACTTCACATGAGACCTTTCCAACTCCAGCTCCTTTCTCACTTCAGACCACACACAGATTCACTGGCCCTCCTTGTTCCAGTTTTCCTAAGCAATCTCCTGACGTGGTGGCCCTCCAAGGCCACCCTCACAACTGGCCTTCACTTTGCCCCTCCGGGTCATGACGTGGTACTAACTACAGACGCTTTGACCTACAGGTGGGGAGCCAGTCTGCCGCCATATAAGCCATGCAAGACTCCCACATAAACGTTCTCGAGCTGCAGGCTATCTTCAATGCTCTACGTCACTTCGGACCGCTCCTGACAAACAAGACAGTTCTAGTTTGGTCAGACAATGCTGTAGCTGTCGCCTACATCAACTGCCAAGGGGGCACTCACTCACCGACCCTTTGCTAAGTGGCCTGGGATCTATTTCAGAGGTCCATCAGTCATTCTGTCCTGGTACTTGCTGAGCACATCCCCTGGTTACAGAACAATCTGGCTGATGCTCTCTCCCGGGGCAAGGTTTGGCTGACAGAATGGACTCTTCAGCCATACGTGGTCCATGCTCTTGTTCAAGAAACCGACAGACTGCAAGTAGACCTTTTTGCCTCTCATCTGAATGCTCAACTCCCAACATTCTGCACTCGATTTCCGCATCCTCAGGCTTGGGCGACCAATGCTCTGCATATCTCGTGGGAAGGTCTCCTAGCCTACGCTTTTCCCCCCATTTCGCTGATACCAAGGGTCCTGTCGAAGATAAAGAACATTGCCGAATTCTTCTCATCACCCCATTCTGGCCGAGACAGCCATGGTTTCCCCACGTCGTGAGGCTGCTAGTCGACATTCCCCTGTTGCTCCCTCAGTGTCATGACCTGCTTTTCCAAGCCGGCTCTCACCATCTCCATCTGGATCCTCTTCACCTACACCTAACGTGTTGGATATTGTCCAACGATCCTTCCAGCAGGCAGGGCTTTCTCAAGACGCTGCCGCCCTCGCTGCAAAAGATAAACGGCTGTCAGCAAGAAAGATCTATGACAGCCGCATTCGGCATTTCAACTCCTGGTGTAAGCACCATTCTGCGAATCCGACCGAAGCAACTCTTTCTCTCGTAACAGAGTTTTTCTTGCATCTCTTCTGGTCTGGCCTCCTCGTTTCAACAATCAGGAACTACCGTTCGGCTTCGGCGGCTATCCACGGTGGCTTTCCCGATGGATCCTCTATCTCTAACAACTCTGCAATCCATTACCTTCTTTGAGGCATGTTTATTGAACGTCCCCCAATCCGACGACTTGTTCCTTCATGGAATCTGGGGGATGTCCTTCGACTTTTGGCTAGCCCCCCTTGCGAACTGGCGGGACAAGCTACCCTTCTTCATTTGTGTATGAAGCTGGCCTTCCTTTTAGCCATTGTTACTGCACTGTCCACTGTTGATGGTCATATTTGATGGGAGCCTTTGGTGTTAGTCTAATTCCAGAGATTGGCTTTCTTACCAAGAACAAAACACCCTCATTTCAACCAACGGACATCTTTGTTCCATCCATCGGGTCGTTAGCCTCATCTACCTCTGACAAACTCTGGTGTCCTGTCCGGACACTCAAATGGTATCTCCAACGGACTATTAGGACATCCGAGGGCAAGTAACTCAATTACTCATTACATCTACTAAGCCTCACTGTGCAGCCTCCAGAGGCACTATTGCCAGGTGGGTAGTTTCCGCGATTAAGTTTGCAAATTCAGATTGGCCCACTGCTTCTGATGACCAAAGTCGATGCCACATACGTGCTCACGATGTTGGGGCAGTCTCCTCCTCATGGGCTTATTACAAAGGCGTCCTGATTTCAGACATTTGTAAAGCCGCTTGTTGGAAATCCCCCGCTACATTTACCTCTTGTTATCTCAGTGATGTTTTATAGGGGGGGTCATTCTCATGGACTGGCCGTGCTCAGGACGGGATCTCAGTAGCTCCAGTTACGGCCGTCTCTCCCCCCTGCAAGTGGGTGCACTCAAGACATTTACATGGTGAATTGTTCTTTGTGCTTACCTCTTGCAGTCCTTTACTAATTCCTCACTTTTGTTCATTGCAGGCTGTACGTGACTTCTCCTGGGGTTCACGGTTGTCAGTGCGCTCCTGCCTTCCCGCCGTCCTCTGGTGCTACTCTGCATATGTATTGGTAATCTGCATAGGTTACAGGCAGTAGACTCTCCCCCCCTACCTAGAGTGGGTTGAGTCTACTACTGCATACCTACCAGATTACCAATCTCCCTCCCCCCTTCCCTTGCGGCCTCAGCGCACTTCTGTGCGTGTCGAAAAAGAGGAAGAACATGATGGCCGCCTTTGCTGGAGTCAAGCGAGTGAGCGCGCACTGCTGGTGATCGAGAATTTAGCAATGGAAGTAATGGACTAGGAAATAATGCATATGTATTGGTAATCTGGTAGGTATGCAGTAGTAGAGCCAACCTACTCTAGGTGGGGGGAGAAATTAGCTCACGAACAAGCAGCTGAATGTAAGCAGCACACAATTATTGAATGTACCGTGCATTTATGTGGCTGGTAAATTTGCCAAGCTGCATAGGGACATATATATGTATGTATTTCATATTTTGCTGATTGGGTAGTTTCTTTCCAGTGTTACTTACGTATCTTCCTGTTATCTTTTCCTCTCCATTCAGTCGGATTGTTTCTTTTTTCCGGTCTGTGTTTGATTGGCTCAAGTACATTTGCTGGTGGGGCCATGCTGAAAGGCACAAAGGCCATGCTTCCGATGATGCTCATTGGTCGACTGATATTTGGATCTGGAAATGGCTCCCTGATAAGTAACTTTCAATTTAATACTTTTGTCAGTTGAATAGATGTCTGATTTTTTTTTAATTTTCTAGTAATTGTAATTTTAACCCAGTGGTTTTGTCATTTGTTGTTGCTGCCATTAATTTAGGACATATGAGAAATTTAGCCAAAGCGATGCAAATTTATCCAAAGTAGTATTACATACATGTATATAAAGCTTGTATGTGCACGTTGCTGTTATGTAATAACTACATGTATTTTCAGAATCACAGTGTACATGTACATATTTATGCTGAATATTTGTGAGGTAAAAGCACTTCCTCATTTGAAGGAATGAAGATGTTACCTTTCATCATTTTATCTTTATCCAGTTGTTCGGAATCGTATAACAGCTTACTGGTTCAAAGACAAGGAGTTGGCTTTTGCTTTTGGGGTCACGTTGACTTTCGTAAGGCTGGTATGTGCAGGTCACTTTTTATTTACTGAAGATGTCATTTGTCGTTAAGTAAAAAGTAAAGCAAACATCAGTATCAGCTAAAAACAAAATCAATCTTCTCAACAGGTTCTCATGCTTCTCAACTCCATGAAGTTGTAAATCATGCAAGATCATGCTAACATACTGGTAGATTTCCAGTTCTACCATTTTTTGGCCATCAGTAGAATCTTTCAAGTTTAAACCAAAAGCCCAAGTAAACTCCCGCCAACAGTGCCACAAATCTCCAAATGTAGAGCTTCTTAAACCATTTTAAACCATTTTGTCCGACAGTTCGAATCTGGTCTTTTACATTTGTGCTTTGTTAGGGAAGTGTTCTAAACTTCTTGTTGACCAAATCCATTGAGGATAAAGTTGGGTTGACCTGGGTGCTGTGGGGAGGTGCCTTCCTTTGTGCTCTTGGGTTTACCTCAGCTATTGTAACAAGCATTCTGGATATCTATGGAGTTCGCCAACTTGGACAGGTAGGAATCGGAAACTAGTGTGAATAGTTCTCAGGAACGTATTCATTTCCTTGTCTGAGATTTCCCATTTTTAAAGAAAATTCCCAAACATTTCCCACATTTGACGATTATTCAGAAGAGGTATGAATTAAAAATATTATACCCCCTCCAAAAACTAGACATGGAATCGTAATTGGTTGACATTGATTCCAAATTTTTCTCAATCCAGGAGTCGAATGTAAAGCAGAGCTCAAAGAAACTTCATTTCAGTGACATTCGCTACTTCAACTCGTCCTATTGGCTGGTTGTCTTGACCATCATGTTCTTCTACAATGGAGTTTTTCCTTTTATGGCAGATGCAAGGTACAAGTGTGTAAATCTGTGAAGGAAAGATCTTTAACCTGTGCTAGGTATTTCCCTAGAAACAGACAACCCTGGAAAGCAAGTTTATGAAAGTGAATATTGTGTCATCTTTTATGTCATACCGTTTCCAAATGAGAAAGTTGAATTGAGTTGTTGTATTTAAAAATACCTTGTTGTAAAAATGACAGTCTTATCTTTAAATTAGCATTTCAGTCTGCCTTTCAACTCAACCCACTAACTGCTGAATTTGTCTTCATCCTGTATTCGTATCAATAAAACCTGAAAAAGCATGGAAAAGTATTTGAAAGTTTCATAGAAAATTTTTACCAAACAAGTGGGTCACAAAATTCATGTAACTCACGTTTATCACTGAAAGAATGTTAAAATTGAAACCTACTAGTTTCAAAACCTCAAACGCAGCTTTGATTGTGCTGATGTCTTCATTTGTTTTTGTTGTTTGTTTGGTTTGTAGTAAATTTATTCATGATAAATATGGTTTCAAGGAGGAGTCCCCGGTACCCAGCTACCTGGTGGGAGCAGTGTTTGATGTTTCTTTGGTTCTGTGTGTGCTTCTAGGTGCCTTGATTGTGAGTATCCATTCTTGATGCGGCCCTTACTGCCGGGCATTTTGAGGGGAAACAAATCTTCCAAAATCGACCTTTTTGCAGTAAACAAGGGAACCTGTTTCATGCTTAAAATTAGAACCTTCAGCCTCATAAAAGTTGTCATGGTTGAATTGATCAGTCCTGAATCTATCAGAATCTTTCCAAATAAGTTGGCCAATTTTTTAAAAAGATTTTTAGGCATGAAGAAAATTCAATTCAATTCAACAGTGGACAAATCAAAAGGTACATGAACTTGTCCTTTTTTTACATGATCATATTCTTGGCGCTTGAACAAACAAGTGAAAAAAGACATGCCTGTAAAAGATTTCCAATTCCTAAACTTAGCAGTTAGTATAAAGTCATCTTGAGTCAATATCACGTTATCCAGTCTTAAGGAATCATGACAAAGGCATTCCTTGACTTCTGAATCTTCTCAGTTTTGATTTACTTAATTAAGGACTGTTTTGCCAAAATAACTTGAAACTTTTGATTAATACATGTACCTCCATATGTGCTGTGTTCACCATGTAGGACATCATTGGAATGCGCGGTCTCTTGGCTTTGTTTTGCTCCGTCGCTACCATCCCAGTCTTTGGCTTGCTTGCTTTTACCCACATCTACCCGCTGGTATCCACACTGTGGCTTGGCTTCACCTACTCCATTGCTTCAGTAAGAATTGCTTATACTGGTACTTAGGGCAACTTTAGAAGTATTAATATGGCCAATATGGTCCCACAGGCTGGGAATTTAAGCTGGCCAGGCCACTGCAGGTTATTTACAGCTGTGGATGGCATCCACTGGTACTTCTTGAGGAGAGAAGTGAAAAGGAGTAAAGTGGCTTGCCCAAGGACACAGCAATGTTAGTAGCTTGTGGATTTGAAGCACTGTGAATCAGATTGCATGCCACAAACCATAACAGCCATCTTCCTCTTATGTTTGGATATTGGAGTGCAAATTCAAATAATGTTTCTTTTCATCTGTATCTCATTGTAATACTCTATAAATAGGCAACTCTGTGGTCATCCATTCCTCTTGTAGTCACCCAGGAAACTGTTGGCATGGCGATGGGATTTGCAACATCTGCTCAGATGATAGGCGTAGGTATTTGCAACAATGTGATTGGTGCTATACTTGGAAACAAAAACACACCGTAAGTACAATGCCCCCTTCCTCATATGCAAAGTAAGTGGATATAAATGCCTAATGTTCATTGTGATAATCTCAGCCGTTTTTCTGTAATGTACTATTTTTGGAGTTAGGTCAGCATTATTGTGGGACATGTCTTTGATAATCAAGTATTAATCCCATTTTATGACACCACAGTGATGCTAATCTAGCCTGATTCTGTGTTCAGCATGTTGAGAATCAAGTGATTTTGTTGGTTTTTTTCTCCACCAGCTTGCCTCATGATGAGTTAATGAAACGTTGGAAATACGTTATGATCTTCCTGTTTGCCAACACGCTGTGCTGTGTTGTCACGGCAATTCTGCTCAACCTTTCAGACAAAAGAAAGGTACGTTCTAATCTGAGATCTAGCAACATTTTCAAACTTCGTTTACAAAACCTTCAAATCTCTTCCAGGGGATGGTGGATCTGTGTAGGGCTGCCAAAGCATTGATGTTTGGCTCAGTCATACATTTTCTTGATTTTGTAACATGGTTTTTGCAATAGTATGTAGAGTTTCCAACGTGGGATTTAATTCAAAGATGGAAATGCTGTTATCAAATTACTCTTTTGGTCATTACATGTAGAGAGCGTATACCTGAAACCTGCGTCTTGAACGGTGCTGTCATTTGTCGCAATTAAAAGATACATTTGAGGGGAGCAATTTGAAAAACAGCAATTGAAGGATATTTATTCCATTTTTTCATCAGTTGTAATGTGACTGACATACATGTAGTAAAGCACAGTTCAAAGCGGAAAACAGCAGTTTAAGGGACTGTTTCAATCGTTGCATGTGGAGAGCATTTTTAAGATTTCATTTTGAATATTCCCTCTGTTCTGCAACTTTTTACATGAGAGAACATACAATGTTTCTTCCGTTATCAGACCCACAATATATAATGGAACTGCCAATACAGGCGATTCACAGAAGTGCACCTCCAAGAGTTTGCAACGCATTGGTCAGTCACAATGCACGAAATTTGGTTGACTCTTTTCAAACATGCATTGGGTCGACAGATTTTGCGCATTGTGATCGGCCACTGCATTGTAAACTCTCTTGCGAATTGCCCATATTGATAACAAAGTTCCATTACAGAAAACATCTCACCTCTCTTTACCTACATTTGCATATCAGCGTGCATGCACATCAAACCTCACTGAAAAAGGTCGCCCAAGCCACACCCTCTGTGCCCACTGTACATGTATGTCCCCCACAAAAGGCTGCGTACAACTAAGACTCGGCCTAGTTTTTTTTTCAGTGACGTGTGTAGGCGACATCGTGTGAATTTAGTATACAATAGAGTTTCACGTTTACACCCAACCTTGCTATTTTCTATGTAAAAATGGCGAAGACCGCCAAAACCTGACACAGGACTGGAAGTTGTATCTATAGTTCAAGCCACGTTCCAGGCAAATCCCCCGGTTCCTCCAAGCCTGATCAGCCCTCCAAGTATGTCATTTCCACCGTGTCGACCGAGTCTACTCAGCCGTGTTCTACGAGTGGAAATTCCCCCGGGGCCGAGCCCGCGACCGGCACCTAACAGGGCTTCTCACCGGAAGGTTCCGCACACCTTCGGTAGCCTTCGTGAGCACATGGCAGCAGCGGAGTCTAACGTCCAGGTGTGTGCGGAACAGCGAGGCCCGGCGCTCCATGCAGAACAGTCATCTGAACGTCTGGCCACCCCCGCTTGGTCACAGAGGCCTGGGGCATCACCACTGTCTCAAGTCGGCAGCACATTTTCAGCCACGCGGAAGACAACCTTTTTATTGCAGATACAGGTTAGACGCAACAGCTTCAACCTCGTTCTCATCCAAGTGCTTGGTCCTACTCTTCAAATGACTCTAGCGCGTCGGTACTACGAGCATGCAGATTTTTCAGCAGTGTTACCCGAGAACTATTCTCGTTTTCTCCGGCGGATTCCTCCACCCTTTCCAATAGCCCACAATGTAACTGTCTCTCCGAATTGTGGAACCATTTCTCGGCGTCGTTCTGCCGACTGCCATACCATGCTACCTGTCCGTCCCAGCATTAGGCCTACCACCGAACGGGACTTCAGCGCGATGTTCGCACCTGTTCACGCCCGCGCTCCCACTCGTTGGATCATGGTCGAATCAACGTCCGTTTCCCCCGTTGACACTTGGGGGTCATTGGTCAGAGCCCTTTCTCCTGTCATTTATCCATGGCCTCCTTTTTTCTTAGCTGGTTAATCTATCACTTACAGTGATGACAGAAGTACATGTCGGTAAGCTTCAATTATGTCAACTTCTTTTTTTCTGATCGTGCCTTATTTACATGTCCTGTCTTATCGTCAGGTGATTGTAGGGATTTTGGCACTTGTGCATGTAGGCTTACCTCAAATAGATTTTTGATTGTGTCATGGGGATTAGATCCCGTTCTCCCTCGTTGACCGATGTTCTTCTCAACCTTTGTGGAGCTGTTCTATTCTCAGTAATCAATGTGTCTTTGTGTTTTTGGGTCAATAGGCCTAGCTACCCTCTCTAACTGCATGGAATGTTTTTGTATTCCGCTTGATACATTTATGTCCTGTACTCACTTGTTACCTAGTTCTTGGCATCAGAACTTGACACGGTCATGTGGGTCCCGATACACTACATGCATGTACAGTCTCAAGACTACTTCAGGTTTGAACAATTATTCAATCTTCTGCAGCTGTAATAGTTCTAATTCCACTGAAGCTGTTGTCATTTAATAGTCACCTTTGCCTTACGTTTGCCCTTAGAGCTTCAGTCTATAGGGACTGCCATTCTCAAATTTAACTCACAGCACTGCGTTTTCCTACTCCGTGGTGTCACTTTTGGGTTTGAGTTGGACCCTCCAGTTCAAGGTCCTCCGGCAGGGTTCCTGTGTGCATTCAGTGACTTGACATGGGCAGACCATTCTTGAGTATATTTCGCTGCACCTTTTCAGTGTGTTTCATGCACAATCTTTAGGTGCCTTCCATGCATGTATGTTAAATTCGGGTGCATTGCGTGGGTGCATGTTTGTGCATTCACTTTCTCAGAACTTGGCACTCTTGCATTTTGCATCCCCCCAATAGGGCTGCTCCAGGAGCTATTTTGTCCAGCGCGCCGCATGGGATGCAAGTTTTGTCATGCTCAGGTAGAGTGCCTTAGCTTGCGCACCCTTGTTTTGAGTTATAATCACTTTCCTTATCGCAGCTTTAGCCCTTGCTCTGCATCGCCTCCCCTACAAAGAATTGTATAGTCTTTGGATAGGCGCCTTGTGCTCAGTG